TTTGGAGTTTTTGGCTAGCTGTTCTTCAAACTCCTCTTTGGCTTTTCTTATTACATTCTTGCACTTAATTTGGAAGCGTTTATGCTCCTTTCTATTTGCCTCACTAGGATTTGACTTCCACTTTTTAAAGGAAGTCTTTTTATCTTTCACTGCTTCTTTTACATGGTTGTTAAGCTACGGTGGCTCTTTTTTAGTTCTTTTACTGTGTTTCTTAATTTGGGGTATACATTGAAGTTGGGCCTCTATTATGGTGTCTTTAAAAAGCGCCCATGCAGCTTGCAGGGATTTCACTTTAGTCACTGTACGTTTTAACTTCTGTTTAACTAACCCCCTCATTTTTGCATAGTTCCCCCTTTTGAAATTAAATGCCACAGTGTTGGGCTGTTGAGATGGTCTTCCCACCACAGGGATGTTGAATGCTATTGTATTATGGTCACTATTTCCAAGCGGTCCTGCTATAGTTACCTCTTGGACCAGCTCCTGCGCTCCACTCAGGACTAAATCTAGAGTTGCCTCTCCCCTTGTGGGTTCCTGTACCAGCTGCTCCATGAAGCAGACATTTAAAGTATCGAGAAATGTTATCTCTGCATTTCGTCCTGAAGTGAAATGTTCCCAGTCAATATGTGGATAATTGAAATCCCCACTATTATTGAGTTCTTAATTTTGATAGCTTCTCTAATTTCCGTTAGCATTTCATCATCACTATCACCGTCCTGGTCAGGTAGTCGATAATAGATCCCTAATGTTATATTCTTATTAGAGCATAAAATTTCTATCCATAGAGATTCTATGGCACATGCAGATTTGCTTAAGATTTTTACTTCATTTGATTGTACATTTTCTTTCACAAACTGCAGCATAAGGACTGTCTGATTCCCTGTTGCCCTGTGAGGGCACCCAGCACACTGCAGGGGTTAGGGAAGATAATAAATAATAAAGGGCCCGTCCCCTTAGTGGGATCAGTTACTGACTTCAGTGATGTGAACTTGGCCCAAAAACCAGAAATAAGGGGACTAAAGAGGAAGATGCTGTGACCGAGTGTGTGTCAGTTCTGCTTTTGGTCTTGTTTCTAGTTAATAAGGAAGCTGCAAGAGTCAGAATCCCAGAGCTTGTCTTCTGAGCAGCCATGGGACGCCCAGGCTTCGCATTTCCTCCAAGTAAGTAGAGCCGAGTTAGTGATGACAGAGCCATGATGTAGGGGAGAGTGTGGTAGGCAAGCCGCTATCCTCTGAATAGCTGGGAGTAGCCAGCTGGCAACTTATTGGAGATGCCAGGGAGGGGAAGCCAGAAGGGTTCTGTCCTCAGGTACTTCGGAGGTTCCCTGGCCTATCAGGGGACATCTACACAGCCTGTGGCAGGGACCCTACAAGCCCACCTTGACAGACTTGGGCTTGTGCTACCATGATAAAAATAGCTGTGCAGATACACTTTTAAGTTGTGGTTTAGACCAGCCGAGGCCCATCCCGCTCCCTACACTTCAGAGCCTGACCTCCCGTCCAAGTCACAACTTAGAAGCTCTGTGTACACAGCTACTTTTAGCACAGTCGCACGAGCCCGAGTCTGTCGAGCTGGGTTCTGAGCCTTGCTGCTGCAGGCTGCTGCGTGGTGTAGATGTACATTCTGTGACCAGTTGGGCTTCACAGGTGGACAAAGAGCAGCTGCAGCACCAACTGTTGTCTAAAGAGATTAGCAAGATACATGCTCTCCTGCAAACTTACTGTGCATCTTGCCCTACAGCAGCCTGGCTCATGGGAACCTTGGCATTGGTCAGCATGGAGCATATCTTACTCTGTGCCTCTCTATGCTAAAGTAAGGACTGTCAAATTCTGTAGGCCAGGTGGCTAATGCATTCTTACCTTGTTTTGAAAAGGCTGCCTGGCATTATGGCAAATATTCACTGAGAGCATTGTTTCCTGAAGGAGTAAAGAACAAACCTCCCACTGGAGTCTGACTCTGCTGGACTTACCACAGGGAGCCATGGAAAATGATGGGGATTGCTGGCACCCAAAGGCCTAGTTTTGGAGGCCATGGGTCTGCCCCTGTGGAACTGTTTAGGTCCTTGGGCCCAGCACACTACAGGGATCTCTCCAAAGGGAATGGTTACAGGCTGCAGCATAGACCAGACCCTGTGAATCCATGACAACCTATCCCAGGGCTTTCAGAAGCCACTCCCGACTCCCAGATGCCTCCTACAGAGCATCACAGGATGAGTCTAGAATGGAAAAATCCAGTGCCTAGCTTCCATTCTCCCCACCTCAATGAGGTCCAACTCCCTGATCCTAATTCTGATCTCCTAGGTCCCAGGAATAAATCCAGGGTAACTCTAATAAAAGTAAACAAATGGAGTCATTCCAAATTTACACCAGTGTAACTGAGATTAGGGTCAGACTCATACAAAGGTGCTTAGAATCCTTTATTTAGTAATGTCTCCCTCTGTTGTTTATTGCCATATCTTAGATTTTAAACAAGTTTTGTTCATCTTCTTTCAAGTGTTTTTCTTCCTTGGACTGTTCTGGTTTCTACCACCAGCAAGCGTCCAGAGGACAAACACAATTGGTAAGTTCTCCGGTTAGTGAAACATAATGCCTTGTGTAACGTTTCTTTGCCCATAATAAGTGAGTCCCATATAGATTGTCTGCAATGAAGCTGGTATTGGCTTGGAAGCTCACAGCAGCATTATCTGGACGCTAATGTGGGGTTCACTGCATCCGGGTCATGAGGAGTAGTGGAATGCCCAACGGGGTGGATACACCTCAGGTTCTAAACAGGCCCTGAAGGGAAAACCCAGAATTTTGAGAACAGGGCAGAATCGGTGTCAGGGATAATTTCTCCTTTTCTGTGTTTGTTTATTCATTCACTCCCTCTTTCTCCCTCTGAAACTCTTTAGGGTATTCAAGTTTTAGTCGGCTCATACTCTGTCCCATGGTGGACAAGAACCTCTTTCTGCTGTCATGTCCCACTGAGAGGTCTTTTAATAGTGTCACTGGGCCATACTGAAAAGCCAGAGGTGGGCCCAGAAAGCGGTAGCTGGAGATTTCCTATACTGGACTTCAGTACCTGGAGGTCTGTCAGAAAGGCGTGAGGGAGAATGAAGTAGCAGTAATTCTGGGTCTGTCCTTTTGGCAGCTTCCCCTTTAAAAAGCTGTTAGTATTACAGAATTGCAAATGAAAATTGAGATCATGATTACTTTAAGGGAGAAACTAGAAGCACTTGGAAATCCTACAAATGGAGCTAAGTCTTGAGAGGCACTGAGGACTGGCATCCAGGACCGGCCCTAGACCAAATGGCACGCACCCCGCCCCTCCATTTGTTAAGCTTTTAAATACCTTATTTTTATTGCATTTGTAGCCCATTTCATTACTTTGATGCATGATTTGTATGCGTGATTTATCCCTGTCTCATAAGACTAGCTGGTGATACTAGGGTTGCCAGGCGTCTGGTTTTCGACTGGAATGCCCAGTCGAAAAGGGACTCTGGCAGCTCCGGACAGCACCGCTTACCAGGCCATTAAAAGTTTGGTTGGCAGCGCAGTGGGACTAAGGAAGGTTTCCTGCCTGCCCTGGGTCTGCGCAACTCCTCGGAAGCAGCTGGCATGTCCGGCCCCTAGATGCAGTGGCGATCAGCGAAGCTCCAAGTGCTGCCACCGCTCCGAGCACCAGCTTCGCACCCCCCTTTGGCCAACGGGAGCTGTGGGGGTGGTGGCTGTGGGCGCGGGCAGCGTACACCACGTAGAGCCACCTGGCTGCGCCTCCGCCTCTGGGACGAACATGCCGGCCACTTCCGGGACGAGCGCAGAGCCAGGGCAGGCAGTAACCTGCCTTAGCCTCGCTGCGCCACCGACTGGGAGCTGCCTGAGGTAAGCGCCTGTCCAGCCAGAGCCCCCACCCTCAACCCCCTGCCCCAGTTTGGGTACCCCCCTTGTACCCAAGCTCCCTCCCCAAGCCTGCCTCCCCTTCCGCATCTCAGTGCCCTGCCCCATGCCTGAGCCTTCTCCTGCACTCCAAACCCTTTGGTCCCAGCCTGGAGCCCCCTCCTGCATCCCAAAACCCTCATCCCCAGCCCCACCCCAGAGTCCACACCTTCAGCCAGAGCACTCACCCCCTCCCACACCCAATCCCCTGCCCGAGCCCAGTGAAAGTGAGCGAGGGTGGGGGAGAGCAAGTGACGGAAGGAGAGGGTCTGGAGTGAGTGGGGGGCGGGACCTTGGGGATGGGTTGGAGCCAGGGTGTTCAGTTTTGTGCAATTGGAAAGTTGCCAACCATAGGCGATGCCCCGTTCCGTGTATAGTTGCGAGGGCGTGGCTGACAACATTCTAGGAGGCTGGAGGAAAATGTAGTTCTCAGAAAATGTGGGAGGTTCCATGAGATCCTATAAAGGTCCAGAACTTTCTAGGAGGCTAGTGAAAAATGAATCCACATATGGAATACCTGAAACACTTTACTTCAAACATTCTGGTTTCCCTTTTGTCGCTAAGAACAAAAACAGCACCCCAAGCCTGGCACCCCAGGTGGTTACCAGGGTCACCTGCCCCTAAATCCAACCATGCCACCAGTTCCCACTGAGGCTAAGAATGATGGGCCTGAATCTCTTTTCAAACACATCAGTGTAAATCAGGAGAAATGCATTGAAATCAGTGGCGGTCATATGGTGTAAGGGACAGGAGAAGGAGGCCCAGCATTTCACAATATCTCCCTTCAGTGATCGTATTAAAGGGCCTGAACCTAGACAGCCAGATTCTCAGCTAGTGGAAATTTCCGACACATCAGACAAGGGCAGACAAATAAACAGTGACAAGTTTTTAAAGTACAAATGCGAGAAGTCTAAATAATAGAATCATAGAATCATAGAATATCAGGGTTGGAAGGGACCTCAAGAGGTCATCTAGTCCAACCCCCTGCTCAAAGCAGGACCAATTCCCAACTAAATCATCCAAGCCAGGGCTTTGTCAAGCCGGGACTTAAAAACCTCCAAGGAAGGAGACTCCACCACCTCCCTAGGTAACGCATTCCAGTGTTTCACCACCCTCCTAGTGAAATAGTTTTTCCTAATATTCAACCTGGACCTCCCCCACTGCAACTTGAGACCATTGCTCCTTGTTCTGTCATCTGCCACCACTGAGAACAGCCGAGCTCCATCCACTTTGGAACCCCCCTTCAGGTAGTTGAAGGCTGCTATCAAACACACCCTCATTCTTCTCTTCTTCAAACTAAACAATCCCAGTTCCCTC